AAGAAATATTATCAATAATTTATTTACTAATATTCAAAAAAATCAATGAGTACATTACTTTGTAAATATATTTCTTAGTTTGTACCAAAAAATATTTGTTAGTAAGAAACAAATGGTGTGCTAAGGATGGTCTACAAATAAAAATCACTAAAGAAAATAATTGCAAAATTTAAAAGAGAACCACCCTAGCAGACCCAAGAACTCAACCTTGAGAATGGAGACTCATTTTTTGATGATCACAAAATATATACTCCGTAATTTTTTAAGAAAACAAACTATAAAGATTGGATCTTTAAAGCATCAAATATATTTCCGGCCTAATCTTTGAATAGAAATTTAAAAGATTTACTTGTATAGATAAATCATTCACATCAATAACGAATCAAGTCTGAGGCGGAAGCTGATCTGATCTTGGTATAACAGTTGGGCCCTCTGTAAGCCCAACAAAGATGCTCAATGAACAAAAGAGGCAAAAACTACCAATCCAAATTACCAGAGGTTAACTTAGAGCTGAAACTATGAATTTTAGCACTACATTTAGGTTTAGATTTGACATCTTCTCCCAACAGCTCATTTTATCTTTGTAGTAGCTCACTCAAACACTTACCCGATTAAAAAAATTAATGAATACCAAAATACATTGAAGAATTTATACTAAGCCATTAAAGAGTTAAATTGAAATATAACTAACTAATTGATCAAGTCTCAATCTTTGTTAGAACCAAATACATTTCATTATTTTGATGAGTATCTCAAGTTCATCCAAAGTAACTAAGTCAGAAAATGTGCATCGAAAATGAAATACCTAATTGATAGATGATGGATAGATAAGGAAGAACTCTAAAGATGAGCTGCTGTCACTCCCTCAGAGCTATCCTCCGCCCTTAGTCTGTGGCCTCACTTTGCTGTTGGAGTTTTTAAAGAAAAAGAGAGAAAAAAGTGGCAACTGAAAACATCAATGCAAATGAATTTGCCAATTAAAGTTATTCTGTATTTGTTCAAGAGAGGAAAAAGTGTGCATTCTATCAACCAAGTTTAGTCCAATAAATTTTTTTTATAGATTATTGTCATTTATTTCCCTGACAATTTTTTCATTCTTTCTCTGTTAAAAGTTCAAACTCAGCAAGTCAGCAGCTACCCTCGTCTCCTCAGCCTCTTTAGTTATCTTTTGTTGTTTTAGTCGTTTCAAACGCGGGAGCTATCGTTCTCTCCTTAGAACCAAATATGTAGAAAGACGTTTAAATGAAAGAAGAAAAGGATGTTACCCCTAGCAATTGACCCATTCACAACATAAGGTTCATACTAAAATTTCAGTGAAACATCATCAGGTCAAATATCCAAAGCAAAGATCGAAACAAAATAAAAAACTGAAGACAAAAACATCAAGTTCTGCAAAATTTGTATCAATGCCATTGAATAAATAGAATAATCTATTAAACAATAAATATTTACAGGGAACTAAGATTATACAATGAAACTACCTTTGCCTAGCTGTTTAACCTCCCCTGTAGTTGTTTTCAGGATCCCTTTGTTGGGGCAATGGTCAAAAACTTAGCCAAGCCCACCCATTATCCTCGCCATGGTGCCCTTCCACCTTTTGCAGACCAAGAGTTTTAAATCTGGAAACCGAAATGATTAAAAGCCTAAAATTATGTTGTAAATGCAGAGTATAGATATATTAAAGAAAAAAGAAGAAAAAAACATTACCTTCATTGAATCTGCTCATCGCTCATATTATCTTCAAAGTTTAACTATCGTCAACCCTAGGCCTGATTTAATCTGTTATTCGGTGAGCACCTGATGCTAATAAGGCTATGAAAAATCTCCACGAAAGATCCGATGGACCTCATCACCTAAAACAGAACCCCCGAAAAGAAAACCCCCATTAATAAATTTGAAAAATAATAATATTAAAAATTACAGAGTATTTCCTTAAGGCGCGTTTGGATGCAGAAATTAACCTGAATGATTCCTATAACACGCCAAGCTTGGTCTTTGAAGACGACAATTTTTTCATCTCCGGGATGGCGAGATCTGAGCTCTTCCCTAACAACAAGAGAACAGGCATTGTGCTCACTGGTCAATTGGTCAGCAGAGATTCCATTGTTCGGCCTATTAAGAACTCCGAGAACAGCCCTTTAACTTCTCCTTGACCGGAAATCCTCTTCCTAGTTCCAATGGAAGGAGCGTTGGAGCAGCGACTTTGATAGATCTATTACACCAATCTATGTATTATAGCTGCAATTTCGGTTCCACTGCCCTCTGCTCACAGCCACCAAAATCCACCA